GGTCTTTGGTGTTAGTGTGATCTAGAGGGGGGCTAGAGAGAGACTCTAGTGTGGTTGAACTACCTAGGCCCAGATGACGCCATGGAGGTGCCATGTGGTCAGGGAAAGCTAACCAACCCCTCCCTCGTGACGCCTTGGAGGTGGCTTGGGTCGGATTGTACTAACGGTTTGGAGGATTAAAATGGTATTGTTTCAGAAATGGGGAGCGGCATTGTATGGCATGTCATTGCATCAGCATACATTGTATATTTGGTGGTTAGATAACTTGAGTATGCATTATTGGTATTATCATTGTTTTGCTTGTTTTTCCCGAGGCATGACCCCACTTACTTGTACTCTATTCCTTATGTGAATTCACGGGGTCATAAGAAGTGTTTCTTAGACACTTCCTACTGAGCTTATGCTCACCCCTTTAATATTTTTTTCAGAACACGGGAAGGAAGTGGAGGACGATGCTCCTCCACAAGTTTTGATGGGTTAGTGGACTGTTTTGGCATATTTTGTAGCTATGATCTCAATTTTTTTTATTACTATTATTATTATTTTTTTATAAGCTTTGGGGTGATACGTATATTATGTATCGACCTTGGAATTGACCATAGTGCCCTTAGGCGACCTCGGGTTCGGGTAAGGACCCGGTTAGCAATTCAGACCCTCGGGTTCGGGTCGTTACAATATATATATATTTATTTATTAAACCCTTTCACTAAATATATTTACCTTTGTATGAAATAAGAAACGGTTATGGCTTTTATGAGTTTGCAAAAATGCATCAAGAATTGAGAGTTGAGCAAAATTCAAGTTCACCTGGTGTCTGTTTATTAAGTAAAGGGTTAAGTGCAAAACGGTCCCTGTGTGGTAAAACCCCGCTATACTATCAATTTGGTGCAAATAGGTCCTTGTGTGGTATGATATAATGATAATACCCTCACTTTAGTAAAATAAATTAATAAATATAAATATTAGCCATGTAAAATGACTATTTTGTCCAAATTGTATAGGAATTTGTAAAAGACCTCTTTCTCCCCCTCTTTTTCTCTCTCCACCCACCACCACCACCAACTACATTTTTCAAACTCAAAAACCAGAAACACAACCTAAATTTACACACACATATATAACCTAAACCCATTTTGCACTTCCACCGCCATCACCATTGCTACCAAATCCAACCCATAATTATCTTGATCCAACATTAGGAGAGGAAAGTTCCATGAATGCATTAGAGCAAGAAAAAATGTCATAAGTTATGTTTAAGTGTACTTGTAAATAAGTCATAATGTATTTTTTTATACTAACTTATTAATTTGTTGGAGGCATTAATAATTGTCATGTCAGAAGCAGTAATGATAATATGGATGGAGATGAAGTACAAGTAAAAAGAAAATTATTTTCATCCTCGTTTCTCGCGCATACAACATTTATAAAAGAAATAGGTTTGATAAAAGAGATGGGTTTGATACAGCCCACAGTTTCTCTCTCTGATCTCTATAATACTACCTCAATCCCAAATTAGATGTTCTGTTTGTGATTCACGGTTTCCCAAACATGACATCTTTTTTGGGATAGAGAGAGTATCATATATATATATATATATATATATATATATATATATATATGTAACACTTGGTTTACAATGGAATTGGGACGAATCACAAAAGAAATTCGATTTTCTTGGTGGAGGACAAATTGACGAAATCGTCCATATGTATATCATCGCCGCTAAATCAAATCGCTTGTTGCAGAACTTCTTCCATTACGAGGGATGTGAGAGAAGAAGGGCGGTGGGGGTAGCAATGATGGTGGTGGTTGATGGGGGTGGTGGCCAAAAAATTACATCTCTTGATTATCTACCCTCTCTTTTCTGGTTCTCTCATCAATGGATAGAGATTGTGTGTGAGTTCCATTGAGTGAGTGATGTGGAAGTGGTTCGATAAGTTAGTGATGGGCTTTGAGTTATATACACGTGTGTGCGTGCACGCGCGCGCGCGCGTATGTGTATATATATATATATATATATATATACACTTTTAGGTGTGGTGGTGACTGGGGTTGTGGCCTTTAATGGTGGTGGAAGGAGGTGGAGAGGATAGAGGGGGAGAGAGAGATGAGGGGCAAAATAGGAACAAAAGGGTAAATTGAATTTTCAGATTTATTTTTTGTCAAAAAATGGTCAGAGGGGCTTATTTGCTCTCTTTTTTTTTTTTGAATTTTATGAACTAACATGCACATTTTTAAAAAGTAAAAAGCTAATTTTGCACAAATCATATATATAAGGGTTTTTTTTCACTTAACTCTTAAGTAAATAAGTCAATTTCTAATATTATAAAGGGAAAATTACATATAAATGGAGTCAAAGTTCCATATTTACTTAGAGGCTGAGTCAAAGTTCCATATTTCTCTAAAATGGATTGCTGAGGTAGCACATGGTTTTTTACTGTTTAGAAATTGTGGTGCCTAAAATACCCTTCCGCGAAGGTACTACTTTTTCTTCGAAGGTACTACTTTTTTGAACTGAAGGTACTACTTTTTGGCTTCCAGGTACCATGTTTTTTAAACACCCGCGAAGGTACTACTTTTTCTCCGAAGGTACTATTTTTTTGAACTGAAGGTACTACTTTTTTGAACTGAAGGTACTACTTTTTTGTTAAGGAAGTGCATTTTAGGCACCACAATTTTTTAAACGGTAAAAAATTATGTGCCACCTCAGCAATCCATTTTAGAGAAATATAAAATTTTGACTCATTCTCTAAGTAAATATAGAATTTTGACTCTATTTATATGTAATTTTTCCTATTATAAAAGCCAAGCGTAAATAGTCATGTTCAAATTTGATTATAGCCTTTGGATTATGATAGTTCAACTTCTGTTAATTTCGTAGTCAGGGTCTTTTTGAAATATTGATTCAGGCTTTTTAAAGTCATATTTTCCTATCGAAGCGGTGTGTTTGCGTGTGTGTGTGAGAGAGAGAGAGAGAGAGAGAGAGAGAGGGGGGTGGTTCTACCATTTTGTCTACTGACAGATAAAACAGAGAAAACATACCAAGAATAAAGTAGCAGCAGAGCAGAGCATACATGAAAGAGAGAAATTTTATGACAATAATGCCCTTGCTACAACCGCACTGTATTTGTGCGTTTAGAGCCCTAGTTTTTTGAGCCTCTGTTGCAACTCAATAGCACACAAAAACACCAGATTTCTCTCCCTCTAGAACTTTAATATAATCTTACCAACCCCAAAACCAAAAAAAAAAAAAAAAAAAAAAAAAAAGGAGCTCTATTTAGAACTGTTGTGTGACACTTGTGTTAAACCCTTCCCAAACAAAAATTACTGGAAACCTTTGGGTGAATAGGAACTTCCTATGGCAATAAATCAAGTGAATGACAAAATTCCCTTTGTTAATATAATTCATATTTAATTTTATTTCTCAACACTTTTTTTTTTCCTTGTTGTTTCATGTCAGGTCAGAATGGGCAGTCTAATCAAAACTCTCCTATTTAGAAACGTAAGTCTTAAATTTTTAAAAACATATCGTCCAGCAGTATCTGACAATTTCTCGATTACTAATCCAATTAGCCATGGACTCATGTCTTCGCTTCTACTAAAATTAGTCATATTTCTTTTTTTGAGTGCATGTACTCCATTCTTGGCCAGCCTGTTCTTTTTGCTATTCTGAGAGAAAGAAAGAGTCGTTGCAGAGATATAATTGTTCTCTTGAAAGCTTATAGAATGTATGTGGAATTGTGTAGTTGTCAAACCCTAATTCATCATATCTATCTCTCTAGTTGAAACCCTTCAAGCATTACATGTTATATATTGTTCCACAAAATGGAACAAATCTCAGAGTTCATTTCTCAAAGCTCTTGACCTCATCCATGGCAGAATCAGCAGAGGACAGAGTCATGGAAGAGAGAGAGAAGAGCTCACGGTGACCCAAAACTCAGAATTGCCCATTTTCTCAAACCCTCACTCACCTCCACTGATGGACCAGTCTTTGATCTTCCTCCACCCTCTCTTTCTTCTGTAACTCCCAATTCCGAGCCAAAGAAACCACCACTGAAAGTGTCCTTCAATTAGAAAAATTGACAACTTGGTCCTTTGGGGAGAAGCAAATATCACTCTTGAAGATATAATGATATTGGGAGATTACTCTGTTTTGGGAAATTACTCTGTTCTGGAGGAAACCAAAGAGAAACTACTCCGAGCACGGTTGGAAGTGATCAAGTGTACCAAATTCATGGCCAGTTGAAGTGAGATCGAGCACGAAGCATTTCTTGCCTTTGGTTGTCCAGGTTTGTCTTTCCAACATCGCCATCTAACACTATAGGAACAAATTAGAGACTTTAGTTTGTTGAAAGAGACTATTATCGCTTCAAACAAATTAGAAACTTTTGAATATGTGAAGATGTTGCTTTAGCACTTGCAATTTGGGCCTCATCACAGTTTGTTCGGATTTGGGCATGGGAGAGATTTCTTACATTGCAGCCAAATTAGAGCCAGTTCCATCATCTAATTCTGTGAAGCTTTGTGAAACACTGATTCAGACTTTTTTTTTAATGTCATATTCTCTCCTATTGAAGCTGTGCGTGTTTGTGTGTGAGAGAGAGAAAACAGAGAAAACATAGCCAAAATAAATGAGCAGCCGAGCAGAGCATATATGCTTTACTGCTACGTAAGAGAGAGAGAGAAGTTTTATGACAATAATGCCCTTTCTACAACCATACCACACCGCCCATGTTGTAACTCAATAGCACACAAAACACCTGCTTTGTAGGACTATGGTACATGCCAGATGCATTACACACACACTAACACACAGTATTGAAGCTTATGCATTACCCATTAGTTGTTTTCAGTTGTCTCTTCTCAAAGCTTTAATCTCTCTCCTCTTCTCCTTGAACCCTAAAGCTTTTATAGGTGAAGAAATTAAGTGATTTATGTAATACCCATTAACTGTTATCTTCAAAAATTTTCCTTCTCAGAGCTCTTGAACTTCTTCAGCAATGACAGAACCATTAGAAGAACACAGCATCATTGAGGAGAGAGAAGCTCTCATGGTTTCTCCCACAGGTGGAATCCCAACTCTAATAACTGCCCATTTTCTCCAACCCACTGTAGCTCATATTGATGGACTACCAACCTTGAAGCCCCCTTCACTTTCCTCTGAATCCAAATGGCGTTTGAACGCGGCCTTCCATGGATGGAGAGACCCCCCAAAGAAATGGAAATCGTGGGTTGATCACATGCATTCTCTACACGAATTGACATGGAAAGAAGTTGGAATTTGTGAAGCTGTTATCGGGTCTATGTACCCAATTCGAGCAAACAATGATTTGGTTTTCGGGATTGCAGAGAGGTGGTGTTCTGAGACCAATACATTTATATTCCCATGGGGTGAAGCAACCATTACATTGGAAGATATGATGGTTTTGGGTGGGTTCTCTGTTCTTGGTGCCTCTGTTTCAATGCCTCTTCAAGCCCAAGAATTGGTCAGAATTGAAGAAAATCTGAACCAAGTGCGAAAAGAACTTATAAGATCAAAGGCCCAAAAGGTAGACCATCGTGTATGGATGAAACATTTTATGCAGAGTGGAAGCGAATTCGAGCATGAAGCATTTCTTTCCCTATGGTTGTCTAGGTTTGTGTTTCCCGGAAATGTTTATAGCACCATTGGTAAGCATGTTTTTCCAATTGCTATTCACCTAGCTAGAGGAACACGAATCGCGCTTGCACCACCTGTTCTTGCAAGCCTTTATAGGGATTTGAGTTTGTTAAAAGAAACAATTGTTGCTTCAGCTGAATTAGAAGCCAATGCAAATGATGACAGTTCTTTAGCAGTTACATTATGGGCACCACTGCGGTTGGCTCAATGCTGGGCTTGGGAGAGGTTCTCCCCATTGCGGCCACAACCCAGTGTCATCAAGTCCGGTGAGCCAAGAATGGCTCGATGGCAGTCTCTAAGAAGATCAAAATTTGAGAATGTGAGAGGGGCTATAGACTCTGCCGGGGAGATTTTTCAATGGCGTCCATATGTCACAACTGTGCACGGCCTTTCACTTCCCAAGTTTTACAAAGAAAAAGAAGAGTGGGTATCAAACAATCCGAGTTTGGATGAAGAAGTGGAGTCTTTTGCTCGATGTCTGAGGGTCTGTGAGCTTGTTGGTGTAGACTGTAGAGAACAGTACCTTCCACATCGCGTTGCAATGCAATTTGGAATGGATCAAGACCTTCCGGGATGGGTTCCACGCTCCAATGCAACTCCAGAAATTGCGTGGAACAATTATAGCAGGCCGGTTAGCGATTCAAAACTATATATTCCGTCTAGGCTCTCTGAGTCTGATGTTAGCACCCAATACTTGGAATGGTGGAATGAACTGTTTGTTCCTCAAGATGCAGTTAAAGGCATTGTGCAAAGAAAAAGAAGTCCAAGGATGCGGAAAAGATTGTTGCAGATTAAAAAAGAAATGAAAGAAGGCAATGATGCTGATGTTCCTCCTGGTTTCCCTCCCAAATGTAAGAGGGTGGAAGCTGATAAACACACACTTGATATTCGATCTCAAAGTCTCTTATCTTGGGCTTCAGATGATGGAACCTCCACGAGAACGAAACCAAAACAACACATTGTGCAGGGTGAATTTGCAACAAAGATATCAGAAACAGGCACTGAGGATGCTCATAATATTGACAGCAACAAGTCCAATGAAGAAGGAAGTAGCAGGGATTTCACATTCAAGCTACCAGAATTGGAACTCGAAGCTCGGATTCTCAGGCTAGAGAGAGTGGTTGCTGTACTAAAAGCCGCAAAATTTGGCAACAAGTGTGTGAAATGACCTACCAAAAATTATCTGACTCAAGCAGCACCATGCAGATGCTTAATTACAATTTCTTTTTTCTTTTTCCTTTCACTATTTCAACTTTAGCCTTAGGATTATGGAATTATGATAAACTTTGAATCATATACTTGTGGGATTGATTTCAAATCATATGGCCAGCTTGCTTATAATTTAAGTAAAATTGTTTAGACCTTTTATATTGTTATTATTATTTTTATCTAATGATACCATAAGCTTAAACCTCTACTAAATCCCTATGTCTACTTCTTATCTGTTAGCAAATTGGCTACCAGATAACGGAAGTGCTAATTTTTAGTGGCGCATTCTTTTGCAGTATATGTCGATGTGATAATACAGAAGACATCAATCAGCTCATTCAAAATTGAAAATACTTGTGTCTGTGTGCGCGCTTTTGCATATACACACACACTGAATCCTTTATTTTTTGCTCTTACATGATGTTAAGTTTATCAACTTTATGTGGAAATTAAGGCAGCTCCTTCTCACACACTCATACATTTCTAAAGCATTATTCTCATCATTCCGGAGTGTATTAAATATGAACACTTGAACTTCTTCAAATTCGCTTCCGATCTTCAATCTTGAATTTCTGAACTGAAATTTTACAACTCGATCGGACTTGTTTTGACAACGAAATTAGCCAATTACAAAAAATATATATCTCACAATCTCCCCTATATATATATATATATATATATATATATATATAGATATATATATCACACATCCATCATTTTTTGTCGGCGTCAGTGAAATGCAGTAACATCAAGCTGAAACTTACACTCGAAACAACCAAAGAAGAAACCGTTTGAGCCATACCCACAGGCATGGAATGTATTGCCATGATCAGCGCCTTCAAAGATAGGGTGAGAGGGGACTGTTGCAAGTGGAAGGGGTGTTTGATCTCACGTGGCAATTCAGCACACGATTGGCCAATTTGAAACCCACAGTTTTCAGAACAAAAAGAGGCCAGACCAAAGGGTCAATGGATCATGGATGTCTGTGGCAAAAAAGTTCAATCTCCATGTCTCTGTTAAATCTGTGTGTTCAAGAATCATTTATTTTCATATCCTTTTCTCTCCCTCTCTTCAAAAGAGGTTTACTTCTTTGGTTATTACAAAGACTTGATGGTTATCACTAGTGTTTGTTGTTGTTATTGCTACAATTAAAAGCAAAAGAATCAACTGAAGGATAAAGAGAGAAACAATAGAATGAATGAGAATCAAATTAAAATTGCTGCCTAATTCCAATCATTATCACAATTGTTATTGCTACTAAAAAAAACAAAATGAATGAATGAGAACTAAACTAAATAAACTGCCATAATTTCAATCATAGTCATTAATGGTACTGATACCTTCATTCCACTTCCATCAGGAAAGGTACTCCAAATGGTGAACATTTCTGATAAATAGAGCAAAATGTGACCACGATGATAAACAACAGCCATTAAGACCTAAAAGCATCACAATGTTAAGCACATCAATCATTGAACCCTAACATCTATACAAAGAAAAACACTTATGAATAAATTAACTTCTTTAAATTTTAAACCTTTAAATGGAAGCACTGGATTGAAACAAACTATAAAACCGAAAACACTTATTTGACCGAACCCATTATTGTTGATTAAGTAATTGTAGAGATGACACTCCATATTAAACCCCAAAAGCCCTTAATTGCAACAAAAACACTTCTGTTTGATCCAACTTGAGAAATTATTGAAGAAATTTTGATCCCCTTCCTTCAGCCATTTCACATTTGCCTTCTGCTTAAAAAGGATTTCCTCTGCATTACTGAGATCGGTGTATCTCCCTCTTAGCTCCCTCTCTCTTAAAAAGTTTTGAGCTCTTCTCCTCAAGTGCCTCAATGTTTTGCACCACAATCTCTAGTTGTGCTTTCTGTGCCTCCACTTTTGCGCGAACTATTGCTATCTCTTCATTTAGTTTAACAAGGGCAGAGCTTCCAATATCTATAACCACCTTTTGATGAAGCATTGCTATCTCTTCGTTTAGTTTAACATAGGCCAAATTGTCAGTGCCCCTAACCAACTGATCTTCACTTGCACTATCACTATCCAGCTCTGTTCTCTCAAGCTCTAATCTCAATGAATCAGTATCTATTTCACAAGTGTCTTCTTCAAACACATCAGTATCTTCACTTGCACTATCCAGCTCTGTTCTCTCTATGTTTGCACTAGAAGAATCCATATCTGTTTCACAAGTGTTCTCTTCAACCACATCAGTTGATGTGCCTGACTTTATATCCGCATGTTTGCAAGCATTGGACCACTCTTCCTCTAGCACACGTACAACCTGGTAAGAATCCAAAATTTGAGTCAAGAAATTATTTTTAGATGTTGGAATGACAAAGGAATGAGAGAAATGAAAAAAGAAAAGTCGGGGACTTGGGGGGAAAAAAAACACAGGAGAAAGGTGAGTGAATCTAATAGGGTGGAATCACAAAATATATGAGTCATGTATTTAAACCCTTCACAAACTATGTTTCAATTTTCATTTGGACTTTTGGATTTTTATTTAGGCCTTTCGAGGTTCAGGCAATTTCTGTAATCCAATGCTAGTCATGAATTTGAACCTTGAAAGTGTAAAATTAAATTTGGGCATAACTCATTGGTCACACAATCGCAATCAACATGAGCAACAAAATGGCATTCCGTGCAATAATAGGTGGGGTGGAGTAGGTATCTTCTTGTTGGGAGAGATGACAATAAACAAACACAGCGGAATAATTCTTCTCCTTATATGCAAACAAATATAGTATATCTCTACTTTTATATGTGCTGAAAACTAATAGAGAACAAATCAATCACACCAAGCCACAAGAACACAAGCAATTTTTTACGTGGAAAACTTCCCCAGTGTGAGGAAGAAAAACCACGGGACCTAGTCCAGTTAAAATCTCCACTGTCAACCAAATAATGGGTACACAAAGTCTTCTCTAATCGCAATTAGAGGCTACAAAACATCTCATCAAGATAGCAACAATCTTGGCAAAAAACAAAGAAAATTGGAGAGAAAAATACCAAAACCCGGTTACTGTTCACGGGCACGAATCACTGTGTCCTAGCTCAAAATCCGATCTTCACCGTTCAGATTTTAATTCATTGAGTCATGAACCTCTCTTCCAAATTTTAGTTCGATCGGACCACGGACAAAGCAGGATCGGACGTTTGATGAAATCTGGGCAGAATAGAAAAACCTGCATTTTTCTACCAAAACCTAGTTACTGTTCAGGGGCACGAATCACTATTCCCGAGCTGAAAATATGATCTCCACCGTTTAGATTGTGCATCACTGAGTCTTGAACCTCTCCTCCAAATTTCAGCTTGATCAGACCACGGACAAAGCAGATCGGACGTTTGATGAAATCTGGGCAGAATAGAAAAACCTGCGTTTTTCTACCAAAACCCAGTTACTGTTCACGGGCATGAATCACTGTGACCGAGCACAAAATATGATCTCCACCGTTCAGATTGTGCGTCACTGATTCTGGAACCTCTCCTCCAAATTTCAACCTGATCGGACCATGGACAAAGCAGGATCGGACGTTTGATCAAACCTGGGCAGAATGGAAAAACTTGCGTTTTTCTTCTCTTTGTTCTTCCACTTGCAGCTAACCTCTCTTTCTCTTTTTATACTAACTTCCTTAGGGTTTTCTTTTCCCCAAAGGCTGGGATTTGGGTTTGTAACGACCAGAACTCGAGGGTCCGAATCGCTAACCGGGTCCTTACCTGAACCCGATGTCAACTATAAACGTTACCGTCCTTTTCTATATCAAAACATAATATAAGTGTCGTCCAAGGGTTTATAAATAATAATAATAATAATAATAATAATAATAATAATAATAAAATGAGATTATAGTTACAAAGTAGGTCAAAACGATCTACTAACCTATTGAACCCTGTGGAGGAGCGTCGTCCACCACTTCCCGATCGTGTCCTGAAAAATGTTAAATATAAAGGGTGAACAAATTGCTCAGTAGGAGGTGCCTAAGACACACTTCTTATGACCCCGTGAATCCACGTAGAGAATAGAAAGCATGAAAACGGGATCATACTATATCGGGGATGTGAACCATAACCACAACATCCAATATAAACACAAATGTCATCTAAGTCACAAATACGCCACGTATGCCAATAAAGTGCAATGCCATGCTCATGTTGCTCCCTATTTCCGAAACATTTCTGTTTCAACTTCCAAACTGTTAGTATAATCCGACCCAAGGCACCTCCAAGGCGTCACGAGGGAGGGGTTGGCTAGTCTTCCCCGACCACATGGCACCTCCATGGCGTCGTCTGGGTAGCTCAACCACACTAGAGTCTCTCTCTAACCCCCTCTAGATCACACTAACACCACGGACCACTAGGCGCCTCCTAGGCGTCCGCGTTTTCGCAAACACTTTTAGAAAACATTTTTCTTAAAATTTAATTTCCTTTATTTTAAAAACACGTTTCCCATTTCTCTTCCCAATGGATGCAGGAATGCTCCATGTTTCAAATCATCAATTCAATAATAAAATTTTCACACATACCATCCAACATAATTTTCCGAAACACATAACTCGTGCTTTCAATCAACATCAATTTAATATGGTAAGCATTTAAAACATGAATTTAACTTTACATGTATAAAGAATCACTACACAACAAGTAACAAATAGTCATGTGTTCCATAACCAACATTTTAACTAATTTTGCAAGAGATTATACAAATTGAGTATGCTTAACATCAAATTAAACAAGAAAACTCACAAAAAACACAAGAATTTATGTATTAGAACACCCCTACCTCTTAGGATGCAAAACCCCCCAATTTTGCCCAATCAAAACCCTAGAATTTGAAATTCCTAGGGTGCCCAAAAGTATGAATTGCTCCTATCAATGTGTAGATCTTGTTGTGCTCTTTGATTTGCCGCAAACAGCATCCAAAAATTCCAAAGGATGAAGGAGA